AAAAACCGATCCGAGTCCGTCGAAACAACGGCCTTCACGCATACCAGGCTGTGGTTCGATCGGACCCGCTCGGCCGAGGCGGCTCATTCGCTCGCCGAAAGCAACTTCAGGCTCGCCGCGCTTTGCGCGGAGCGGCTGTACCAGGGCTGGTGGATGATGTTCGAGACGGCGTACGGCGCCGGGTGGCGCCCGCCCACCGAGCCGGACGAGGAGAAGGACGTGTGCGACCACCAGCGGTTCGCCTTCTTCGACCGCGGCCACGACTGCTGCAGCGGCGAGAGGCCCAAGTTCGACTGGGACCCAACCGAGCTACGCGATCGGATGGAAAAGGCGCTCGAAGAGCCGTGCACATGCCTCAATCTTCGCGTTGTCGGCGAGTGAGAGGCGTCTTCCGCCTCCGTGCCGGCCCGTCCCGCGGAGCGATTTTGGGCTCTGTCTGAGGGTACGAGACCGGGGTGGTGTCTAAATATTAAATGTTTCGTAGTCACCCGAAGCCCCTACACCCCCATGGCCCTGGTGGCGCCGCTGGGAGCGCTAATATGGGCGCCACGGGGGTCCTGCCGTCGCCCAGTCCGAATCACAGTGGGGCGGAGCCTACCCTGTCGGTTCTTCTTACACTCTCCGCGATTTAAAGTCTTCAAGATCAAGTGGACTTTGAATGCCGTGGGGCTCCTGTCGTCAGACGTGGAGACGCGAGGGTTGCCCCCCCTTGCACCACCTCGTGTGTGTGGAGAAGTTTACCTTACCGTACCTTACCTTTAGGTAGGTAGGTAGAAAGGTGAAGAACAGCCAGGCTCGGACCACTGGACACCAACGCGGTATGGGTGGACGCTGGACAGATGATGACGACACGCACGAGCGACACACAGACACAAACAAGCTCACAAGACACACAGCCAGCTGGCTGTCACACACCCTTCGTACACACCATTAAAGTGGAGGGGGAAAGAAATCGGCAGCGCGCCCTACACAGCGCCGCTACAAGCTGCCTGCACAAGCACGCCTCCCCGGAGTTGCTGACTGCGGTGCCTGCCGATGGAGGAGCCGTCGAGTCCCGGCCCCAAAGACCCGCCAAAGTCGACGCGCTTCCTGCCGCGCTTCGACGCGCTAAAGGTTGCCGCGTCGTCAGCCGCTGCAAGCGCGAGCGAGTGGTCGAGCCGCGCGG